TGATGGATACCCAATATTTTCCTAAGGACTGTAGATCGGCCTAGGTCCAAATATAGGTATCCGGGCCTTATAATATTGAAAGATAATACGAGAATAATAATTAATAGTAATAGAAGCACTGCTCACTAGATAATAACTCAAATCGGCGGTCCTCTCCTTTATTCGGTCCTCTTAGGAACGGAATATGCTTGAGGATCGCTAGAATATCTTTTATTATTTACTCACGTATTTTCTCTCCTTATTACAAGATATCCTCCATTCCCCAAGTCCCTCTTTCTTTTATAGGCACTCCCCATCCATTATCCTCTTCAATAATGGCAGTGATTGGGGGAATATTCGTGCCAGCCTTCCTCCATCTGGGGGAATGTATCTCAGCTTGAGGCCGTCCACTGGAGGACAAGCCTGTCCGTCCATCTCTTGCTCCCTGTCCGTCCCTTTCCCTTGTCCTTGTCCCTTCAATTAGGGGGGACTGCTCTAGACTCTTCCATACGATTTCTTTCCTTTGGGGTAGCTTATTCTCAGTAGGCTGGGCTTCAGCCCATTCTTAAGCCCCCAATCCTTTTCCTTTTTCCTATCTTTCCTCACGGATAACTTCCCTTGACTGGCCCAATATATTTTCTCTGGGTTGGACACTCCTTTTGATGGACGGAATCTAAATTGGGCCTGGGCCCAATTCGCTAGTATTCTCTCGATAGGCTTGGTTCCCATCACATGCCCCTTTTTTTACAAGTCAAAAAATAAAAGATTTTTTGACTGTAGTCTTTCTCGCATGCTCTATTAGAAAGTTTCTCCTCTGTCCCTAATTTTTTTTTTTTGACGAAGATCCTCTTTTTGGGGAAAACCCCATCATTCACTTTGTATTTACTGCGGATGTTTTCTATAGCGCATCTTTGCGGGCCACGGGCCTTGGACGAATAATTGGCCGACTAGACTGTCTTTTGGTCACACACTCCTTGGATCGTGGTGCCGCATATCTCTCCAATCACTGCCTGGGGTGCCAATGGCCCACGTCACCTTAATAATGGCTGACCATAGCAGGAAAAAGGGGTGACAACAGAGGGCCGCAGGCCTGGGGAATTGCCAGTGTGGACCGCCTGGAAGTCTGCGCCACTTAAATACCCATGGCCCATTTTTCCGAACCCCTTTTGACCGGTCCCTCTGATTCCCTTAACTGCTGCGTAGGGCCGTTACGAAACAGGTGCCATTCAAAATTCTTACCGTTGCAAAGAGATATTGAGGGTGGACCGTTTCTTCTCCCTCTTCTTTCTCTCTATAAATACGGTCCCTCTCCCCTCTCCTTCTTCACGCTCACACGCAACTCTTCACTTCTCCTGCCTTTATCCCTACCGAATCATCCTCTCTCCTTCCCAAGACCTTTACTCTCGCTCACCATGAAGAAGACAATCTCCAAGGTTTCCAAGATCTTCAACGGCGGCAAGAAATCCAAGGAGGACGAGAATGTTTCCTCCATCACTCCTGCGCAATTGGGGGAGATGAGGGGAGTCATTCCTCCTGATTATGGCGTCCAGGAAGCCACGGGTACTACTTTGGAGCGCAATCCTGACATCTCCC